ATAGGAAGTTCCACAAAAACATTAGAAAAAAAACTTTTTCACTGCAAGGGTAACAGAGCCCTGGCCCAGGCTGCCCAGGGAGATTGTGGACTCTTCTTCTCTGGAGACATTCAAACCCACCTGGACACATTCCTGTGTGACCTGCCCTGGGTGACCATGCTCTGGCAGGGGGGCTGGACTAGATGATCTTTCCATGTCCCTTCCAACCTCTAGCATTCTGTGATTCACGACTTAATCTGAATTTATTTCCAGAACTCCTGTCAGGACACCGTGACTAACACATGTATTTCTTTTATAACTAGTTAGCACAAAATGCTTTGTTAGCAGTTTTCAAGGAACAATGGAAACTACTCAAGTCAAACAGACCACTCGACATACCATCAGCGAATACTCCACACGAATTATACTACAGTCAAGGATTGAAGGGGAAACAGGTGGGATTTTCAACTGTTTTCCATTCCAGGTTTCTGTTTTGCCAGATGACACGGATTCCCCACGCAGGTTGGCAACAAGCTGTTTTACTTCCTTCATTTTCCCTTTGGCATAAAATGCCTGTGTTTGGTAAATGGCTGCCTTTGGCACCACCACACGGGAAGAGCAGTTCTCAATCTCAGCAAAGATCTGAATTGATTCACCTGAAATAAAACAGAATTTTATGTTCACTTTATATTTACAATGCAGCTTCAACAAATTGCTGTGTTCTGTGTATCATTATAATGCACTGGATGCTGCTACCAATGCTCTACACCTTGAAAATCAGCTACTGACACTAACAGAAATTTTCAGGAACTAATCTAGAAAAAAACCGTGCAGGTTTAACACAAGTAGATGTCCTTCAACAATTTGGAGACGCAGCTAGCATTAGTTACCAGAATTAGCTGTAGTTAAGAAAATATCAAGGAGACTGCTGAATGCAGACAGAGGTGGTAAGAACAATTTAAACAGCTCGTTTATATAAAAGCAGTAAGTACAAACTGTCATTTTACAAGGGAAGGAAAAACATTTCCTATAATTACTTCTGTTACGTACCTGGGGTGTAGCCCTTCCTTTCAATTTTGGCACTTAAGGATATTGGGCCTGAGGTACAAAACCAACAACAGAGAGTCTTTTCTTTTGTGCCTGCTTGGGGTGACTGCAAGAGAAGACAGACATTGGCCAGTTTAATTAAGAGTTCAATGAATCACAATCTACTTTAATCAACAAAAATCATGTTTTCATTAAGTACTTATTGCATGCTTTGATAAACATAGGTTTGGGTTTTTTTTGAAGAAAACATCTTAAGCAATTTAAACGGCAATGTGCAGATATAAGGTCTATTCTAATCCATTAGTCATTAACGCTGCTTCTTCTGCTATAGTTCATAGTGCAGTCATACTTCAAACTGTTCTTGAAAATTAACAGTTTATAGCTTCAGACTTTAGAGCCTACATATCCCAACATATTGTTGGCAGAGCTTTTCCCTTATCTTAGTAAACAAGAACATATTTCCGAAACAATAACTAAGCTAAAGTACTGTAACCTTGACTCCTGCTATTTCCTCTGCTTCAGAATGATCCCGTTTCAGCTGTATTAAACAGACTTTGTTGTTTTACACACTATAAGAACTCAGGACTTGATCCAAAGCCCACTGAAGTCAAACGGGAGTCTTTTGATTTTAATGGGATTTGTGCAACACCAATGTCCCTCTGCAAGTCTGATTTTTCACCCATACACACCAGAAACCTATTTCAATGGACTTTGAGGGTTGGGTTTTTTTCCCTTCCATAGATTAGAATCTGAGGAAGAGGTGAAAGAAAACCCAACAAGAAGAAAACCCAACAAACACCACAAGTTTTAGGTCAGATTGAAATCAAATTCTCAGAGAAAGCACCTATGATACTGAAATTGTTTTAATGAAATGACATTTCATTATAAAGAATTGTGATAATTTCTCCCCATTGGTAGAAAACTACACGTATGGAAATTAACAACTATGTACACCAGTACATTTTTTTACTTTGCATTTTTAAGTTAGCAGTCTCTCACTATAATATTCTTTTAAGTTTCACCGTTCCTTCCACAGATTACTCTTCAAAATCAAAGCAGAAGAGTCCTCGCGATTTTTGCTTCTCAGTGACATTTTACAATTTAGCATTACCAATTTAAAAATCGACAAAGCCATTTTATGTATCTTAAAAGTTAAGCAACTCCAAGGACAGGAAAAAAGTAGCCTTCAGAATACCAGTAGTTACAGAGTTGCTGAACTGATGCAATACTTAGATCAGCCGTAAATAAACCAGCGAATAAATAATAGTTAAAATTAGATGCAGGTGTTGTTTCAGTTATTATACTTCATTATTTTTATGTCAGAAACAAAGAATGAGTAATTCTGTCAATTCTTACCAGTAATGAAGGAGTGTTGATATCTATATGTTCAAAGACTGTAAATTCCTTCTTTAATTTTACTGGTAGAAACCAAGGCCTATGCAATTCGGCTTTCACCCAATAGCGCACACTGCCATGTCTGCCTTCGAATGAGGTAGCAAGTGGTCTGTGCAGGACACAAAGGTCAAAACTGAGTAAAGTCCTTCTGTCTAGTAATGATACAATTGATCAGATCAGGGATTAGTATGTAGAACTGCCTTTAATGCACTGTAGTACTTAATGCAGCATAACTTATTTTGCAAAGTTTCTGTATCTTGGAAAAAAATCAAAATTAAAAATGGGAGAAAAAATCATCTCCAATTCACCCTACTGTAGTTTTGCATAGATTTTAAGAACCAATTAAAGAATTGTACTGGAAAATGCCAGGAGAGTACACGTTTCCTTTAAACTTCAGAGGCCACTTCCATCTCTAGAGTAAAGCATGCCCTTTTAAGGCCAAATTAAGACTACCAACTCAAAATTAGCATTAGTATCAACCAATTATTGTTTTGGATATCTTATTTTCTAAGTCATTGTCTATTGTTTACTTGGCTGGTATCGCAAAAATCAAGATTAATTTTAGCTGTAATTCAGTACTTTTATAAATTTGTTTTGCCTTAGGCAGAAAAATATTTCTATTTAAGAGTTCTGAAGAGAGAGGCTATTTTGAGTACCTTTAATTTTCCTCTACCCTGATGAGACCAGCTCAAAATGTACATACTGTATATGAATATACATATATAAACACATATAAAATTATCAAGCTGCTTCTGCTCTAAACTTTGGCAGACTGAAAATGTGGGAGCTGGAGGAAAAACGATGTGGAAAGGACCTCCGAACCTTTCAGCATCACCTTTTTCTCCTGTAACATCATAAAAGACAAAAGATCTTTATGTTCCAGTTAACTCCAATTCACAGTTAATTTTCCATTACTTAAGTGTTCCACATTTTTAGGCAAGTAGCTTTTTTTCTATTATGCTATGTTTTCAATACACTGTAATACAAAAATTAAACATGATGTGCAAAGCTTCCACATGGAATACTACTAACTATGCTAACACGTCACTAGAATGATTCTTTCTGTTACAGGCTTGATTCCTCTACTTGCACATCTGAAATGCTTCCTTTTTTTAAGCCTATAATCCAAATTAGAGGATTTTCTAACCTCTCTTCAGTGTTTCATCCTGCTCACTTTCTTTAGGGCAAAAATCAGAATGGCCTGCACATGTTTTCTTTCCACTGTTTCTCTATAGTTTGATTTTGGAGCAGTCTATGGACACAGAATAACAAGGTGGTATGCAGTGGGCAACTTCAGGCTTTTAATACCAGCCTTTGTTTCTACAGTATTCTCAAAAGCTCTCAACAGCTGGTTTCTCAGTTATTCCTGCAGGTCATTTAAAGAGAATCTGTGTTGTGAGTAAGGTTTGTAATACCTTGCTGTCCACTTGCTCCACTTTAAACCAAACATTACACACCTATGTATGGTTTTTTTTCCCCAGTATTTAAATGTCCCTTCCATGTCAAAGCAAGATGAGTATTATTTCTTTTTGTAGTTTAGCTTTTCACAGAATTCTAGATTGTCTTTTAAAATCTCCATGTATGCAGGTGGTTCTCCACTGTTTCAGTAATGTCTAACGTAAAGTCCTGTGATGCTTGCTTTGAAACCAACCTGTGAAAGTGTTTTATCATCTGCAGGCTCCACTAAAGCCAGCACCTCTAATAAATAAATAATTCATTAGTTTTAATGAATTAGGTATTGAACCATTTCAAATACCATACTGTCAATTTTTTTTCAAGCTTGATGACTCCATTGCTTGCCTTTTAGAGCAAAAGTCTCCTTTTTCCTTCCACTCATGCGAGACTCACTCTGTTCCTTCTGTATTCAATTTTATTTCAACTTGTACTTTTAGCTCATTTCCATACTGGTAACTCCTCTAGGTATAAATCTTTCTTTCCCAATGTCTCTATTACACATTGCAGACTTGGGGTGTGTGGGAACAATCTTCATCTGAACATTTCTGCTTCACCTTTGCTTTGAGACAAATGGAATTAGGTATAGGGATTTTCTTTGCTTCATCCACCCATCCTTCTGATTATTTCCACCCAGGCCTCTGCTGTATGCAGGCCTGCCTGGATACAGAGATCCTATTTAAAGGAGAACAACCTCCTCTTTTGTTTAAAGAGTAGATAACTTGCCACATCTGTTCCAGACTGAGCCCAAACAATCCAGCTGCAATCTTATCTCTAATTCTGCTGGCTTGCATGGCTCCAGTAAACTGCTAGTTGGCTTAGAAGGTATCTCAGCTACTCTGCAGTACTCCAGTGAAGGTCTGAATTCCTCTCCCTCCTCTTGGGAAGGGATAAAATACTTCAAGACCTCTTAAGTCAGTAGGACTTGGTCAAAGGAAGTGAGCAACTGGGCAGCAATGAGCTCCCATTTCACAGAAACTGAAAAGGGAAAAAAAAAAAAAAAAGGAAGTGTGTATCAGTTTAAAAGCAACCTCTTCAGTTTAATGAGATTATGTCCTCCGCTGCATGTCAGAGCACAATTCCTACTACCATTGAAAAGGTTTACCCTCCACCCACAGCAGGAGTTTTTGCTAAGGCAGGGCAGGCAGCAGGGCCCCAGGACCCAGTGCAGGCACTTACGTCTGTGGAAGCTCGAAGCTGAATGCATATTCATGCCTTCCTGAATGGATGGTGTGAAGGCCTTCTTCTGAACTGTCATCATCTAGGAGGGAGTAAAAGAGAAATACAAAATTCTATTCCACTTGCACAAACTTTGTACATTACATGAGCTTCTCTTCCAGAATAAAAGGGATTGACACACTTATAGCACTTAAGAATGAAGTGCCCCAAAAACAAGGGCCTCTGGTCCACCTGTGTAACTGCTGGATGCAGCAACAAATCCCGCCTAGAGAACAGCAGGCAAGACGGCCAGATTACCTTACAGAAGAGCAAAGATTAATTGGCTTTAATGTCCCACCTCTGAACACAGACACAGTTCTAACTGCTGCCATTTCAAGGCCTGCCTGCAAGACCTGAAATGGAAATCATGCTTCTGGCTGTGACTCCTAGTTAAAATGAAACAGAGGCAGCTCTTTAACAGCACTAAGCGATCTGCACAAAGTCTGCTGTGCAACATTAAATTTAGTAATTTGGCTTCCTTTTATCTCCTGCCTGGCAACAGTGTCGAGAAATTAATCGCTAAAAAAAGAAGGTGGAGGGGGGGGAAAAAAAATTAAAAAAATAAATAAATTCACACACCAAAACCACAAAGGGTGTAGAAGCACCACCTGGAAAGTACCAGACAAATTTAGGGGCACAGAAAATGGCAAACTGCTGGAATAACAACTGTCTAGAACTCAACTTTATTTTTTGATAGGTTAACTTGATCTTGTTTGGACAGCAACGCTCAGATACTTGCTGGTCCCACCAATTAATATGACCTTAGTTTACGGTCACCGTTTCGTGCACGCCTTTAAACACTGCAGTGAACTAGCACTTCATCCCGACGCAATTACCATAAAACATGGAAAGACGCTGACTCCATCGGAACAGAAAGCCATGGAGGGTGGGGAATTATAATAATAAAAAATAACCGAGGCTCTTGCACACAAAAACCCCGGGGATAACAGAAGGGGGACCTAGGAGGGCCAAACCACTTGCATTTAATGGTCTGAAGCTTTAATGGAGACAAGCGAGGTGGGTTTTTAAGTTCCCCAATGTCCTGCGGGAATGCTGACATTCCTCGTCTATGAGCGATGAAAGCATTTTTAAAAAAAAATTAGTAATAAATAACGAAAATAAATGGAAAAAGAATAGAAGACACCACCGACAGAAGTCCACCTTCACCGCAAGCACCCAGAAATAAAACACCCAGGGAATCGAGCCGAAAGGGCGAGACACCACGTACGGGACTG